ACTATATACTCATGATTCACACAAGGAGAACGATGAGCGCGTCATGAAGTTTCGGGAGAATAATATTATCATGCAGTTTAGACTAACACTGAAATGAACCGTGTATATATATAAGATGGTGAGATTTAATAGTTCCTAAATTATAGTAAATGGAATACAATTATAGTAATGAAATTATAGTTCATAATTATAGTAAATGGAACACAATTATAGTTAATTATCCTCAATTATAGTTAATAAATAGGGTCCATTAGATATAACCCCCTTAGTCTTACAAAAAATAGGGATAGATCCAAACTGAAATTTGTCATTTTGATAAAAACCCATATTTTTCTAAATTCCATCAGTACCCTCAATCAAATCCCAAAAAGCATCTCCATCTCCACCTAAAACTCCAGCATCGAGGTCACCATCTGCACTTGCGCCGCCACCAGCACCTCCACCGCCACCACCTCCGCCTCCAAGATCGTCACCTTCACCTAGACCTCGACCGGCACCACCTCCGCCTCCAACGGTGCGACACTTGATTTAGGAGTGAAGCCAACTAACTTAAATGCCCAATGTCGTTGTTATCGTCGTTGGCCACCGGCGGCCGCCGCCGTCACTTTTCAGATATAGGGTTTTGATGATTTTTCGGCCCATAGTCGATGACGAGATTCATAGTCGAATTAGATCTATGGGATAGTATATTAAATGATATGGGATAGTCTATTAATATTAAAACACAAATCCTCCACCGTCACTTCTCAGATCTAGGGTTTTGATGATTCTTCGGCCCATATTTTCGGCCCATATTTTCGGCCCATAGTCGATTAACGAGATCCATGGTCGAATTAGATCTATGGGATAGTCTATTAAATGATACTGGATAGTCTATTGATATTAAAACATATATCCGTCGCCGTCACTTCTCAAATCTAGGGTTTTGATGATTCTTCGGCCCATAGTCGATTAACGAGATCCATAGTCGAATTATATCACTGGGATAGTCTATTAAATGATATGGGATAATCTATTAATATTAAAACACTAATGAACATTGATAGTCTATTAATTTTGGCAATGATAGTGTATTCTTTTGGCATGGTCTATTAATATTAAAATACAAATGAACACCGATGTTACTGTTGTAAAACATATGAATACTCTTGATAAAAAAATATCTAGTAAATATAAAGCAAGTCTATAGTTGATTATTTATTTGGGCTTTTTTTTCAAGTTGATGACACTTAGTTTATTAATATTAAAGCACAACTAAAATATGTAATAGTTTATTAATTTAACACTGATAGTCGATTAATAGAGATTTAATTCGACTATGCATCTCGTTAATCAACTATGGACCGAAGAATTATCAAAACCCTAGATTTGAGTAACCCTAGATTGGAGCATTGACGGCGGCGGCGGCAACGACGATATCACTCCTAAATTGATTGTTACGACCTTGGAGGCGGGAGCGGCGGAGGTCTTGGTCGATTTTGGCGGTCTTGGAGGTGGAGGTGGTCGGATGTGGTGGTGGTGGAGGTGTTGCTTATGGCTTTGGTGGAGGTTCTGGTGGCGGCGCAGGTGATGGTGGCGACTTTGGTGGTGACGGGATAAGAGCCAGCGCCGATGATGGAGGAGGCGGTAACGGTTATTGGCGGCGACGCCGATAGAGGAGGCGACAGCGGTGACGGAGGTGGCGGCGGTCGGAGGTGGAAGCGGCGAACCCGGCGGCGGCACTCTTTCGCCTAAAAAACTAAATGGAGATATAGGGTTTTGTAGAGGAAATAAATACCGTTCAAAAATAAAACAGGGGTATTAAAGGGAGATCAAATAATATATTGTGCCAAGTTGGCATATTTTGGTGTATCTCAAAAATGGAAAAATTAATTGGATTCACCTCATTAGAAAATCTGAACAAGGGGTTATCCCTAATAAATCCTAATAAATATTCATATTCCATGGAATTAAATACAATTAAGCAATTTTCTATAAATAAATTCCCGAAATTTCTATTTGAATATATTTATATGCCCAATTAGAACTAATTATAGATCAGATACATAATTGTAAAAGATTACATCAAACATTACATGGAATGTGAATGTTTATTGCAAGACAAAATTTTGTAAATTAATTCTTCTTTCCACATGTTTCCAAAATATTCAAATCAATCATAGAGTAAAACCATTGCTAATGTTCAGTCAATAATAAATGTACATATATATATTATTGTTAAACCATTGGTTATCCACAACAATAATTTATAATTAACTTTTTTGCACAATAATTTTATACTAATGCAAAAACAACCCCCACCCACCAATAGTTGCAGTTATTGTAAAGAAACCGATAATACTTATTTAAATATGGACTATGCCCATGATGATGATTGTTAATTTATTTTTTTGCACAACACCATTTATTAAAATTATAAAACAACCCCTGACATAATGAAGTGTATATATATATATATATATATATATATATATATATATATATATATATATATATATATATATATATATATATATATATATATATATATATATATATATATATATATATATATATATATATATATATATATATATATATATATATATATATATATATATATATCTATAAATAATTTGCATTAAATTTTGATTTAAATAGATTTACATTCTTGATTAGAATTTATTATAGATCCGATACATAATTCTAAAATTTTACATTAGTTAGTATAAAGGAAACAAAATATATATTGTGTTAAAATATACATATAAAATAAATATCCATATATATACAATACGAAAAAATGACTATCTGTTAATTGACTTTTTTTTTTGTTTCTTAAAAAATGTTTTAATTAATATTAATTTCTTGACTGCTAAATTATTGTCTCCAGCAGTTATTTAATAGTCGGAGACAGTAATTTAACTATTAATTGAGCTTTTTTTTCTTTTAATTTTGGCTGCTAAATTACTGTCTCCAGTAGTTATTTAACTGTCGGTGACAGTAATTTAACTGTTAATTGACTTTTTTTTTTTTTTTTGTTTTTTTCTTAAAAAGAAGTATTTTTAATTAATATTACTATCCTGGCTGCTAATTACTGTCTCCAACAGTAATTTAACTGTCTGAGACGGTAATATTACTGTTTTAATTAATTTTATCGTCTTGGCCAGCATTTTTTGTGTCTTCAACTGTAATATTACTGTCTCCGACCGTAATATTACTGTCTTGGACTGTAATATAACTGTCATATAATAATATTACTATTTGGGACAGTAATATTAGTAATATTACTGTTCGTGGAAATAATATTCATAATATTACTGTCCCAAACAGTAATATTGCTTTCTGAGACAGTAATTTAGCAGTCAAGATAGTAATATCAATTAAAATATTTTTTCTAAGAAAAAACCTAATTTAAAAAAAAGAAATAAAAAAAAAGTCAATGTCGGAGACCGGCAGTCAACGGCGGTTGACCGGTCGGAAAAAAATTTCAGATAAAAAAAAGTTAAAGAAAAATAAAAAAACAAGTCAAAGCCGGAATCTGACCGGAAAACAAATTCATAAAAAAAATTATTTTCTGACCAAAAAAATATTTTTAAAAAAATTATTAGAATGAGGTTAATGTGATATATTTGTTTAAATCCGGGGTCAATGTGTCATATTAAGAAAATTAGAGTGTAATGGATGGAATTAATAATAATTATCTTATGGAGGACATTTTAGACTAAAGACATAGAGATGAGTTTATTTGAAAGGCTGTTTTTTTTGTAAACCAATGTGCATTTGTGTCCCTTTTTGCCATTTGCCCTTATATATTTAATTGGGGGTTGTTTTACATACCCTAGCCAACAAATAAACTAGGGATAAACTCAAGCCCAAATAATCCTTTGACATTCCCCCCAGGAGAAGTGAAAGTACTATACTACCCTTATATGCAATTTTCGGCCAAACTCCGTTCAGCATTTCTGGCCCTGCATTTATCATTTCGCTGATTTATTTATTATTATTTTACTTCTTTTTTTTAATTAACATGTTTAATGTATATATTAATTTTTTTTAATTTTTCAATATTTATATTATAAATCACCTCAGAACCAAATAAAATACAAATCGAAAATATACAGATATATGCATATGTAACTACATGTTACTATAGTAATGTATAGTAATGTATACAGTTTGTTGAACAAAGCAAATGTAACTTCAACAAAAAATTGTGACACCTTCAATGAAAGGATCAATGACATTCATTAAGCTGCAATTGCAAAATCAAAAAAAAAATATTTTAGTGCAAATCAACAAAAAATAAAGAAACATTCTCAAAAAACAAAACAATAAGAGATCGAGAGAAATAAATCTGGTAATATAAAAATAAAATAAAATATAAAAAATATAGAAATAAATCTGAAAATATAAAATGAATTAAATTGACATCAAATTATAGATCCCGGCGTGAGGAATCCAACGGTGGGTAGCGCGTCAAATTCTTGCTGGCGAAAAATAAATTACACCTCTGGTAAAACCACCGTCGTCGAAATACGCCGACTACAAAAAACATTGCAGAAACAGATCTAACACTCCAAACTGAGTGAAATACCCACCAAAAGAAAGAGCTCGACGATAGGAATCCAACGATAGTTGAACCAGCGAATTCCGACCACCGGAGAGAGAGTTATGACTCCGGGAAGCAATATTGACGGTTATAGACCTTGGGGGCGGGATTTGGATTTGGGAATTGAGACAGGAAGATAAAGACCGATTGGGCTAGGGTTTAAAACTGATTTAAAAGGGTATTCTAATTACTTCAGGGTGGGCTAGGGGGTATGTCAAATTATTATCCAAATGGAGGGGGTTTGCACTAGGGTGTAAACAATATGGTAATTAGTTATATATTTTTTCAAAATGAGGGGGTCTCTAAAATAATCCATTTAAATTGATCTGAATTCGGATTGATCTATTCTAATGAATAAGAATAAATGATTTTAATTTACTACTAGTAAATATAGGGGTTTTTGTGCATAAGTCCCTAATCAACCATCTTTATTATTCGATGTTTATGGGGTTATATCTATTTCACCAATCAGCACATCCCTTTAATATTTATTATAAATAAAGGAAAATTCATGTATATGACAAAATTACCCACAAACTTTTACACTCAATTCTTAATTGTAACCCAAATTAAATCAATTTTGACTAGCAAAATCCAATTTTGATTTTTTTTAATATTTTTTTTTCAAAAACTATTTTTTGTCGCCGGTTTCCGGCGTTTACATTACGATTTTTCTTATGATCAGTTTTTTCCGTCACCGGATTCCGGTGTTGACTTTCTTAGTGTTTTATTTTTTTAAAGTCCGCCGCTAAACGTTGACCGTATTTGTGCTGTCATTAACGGTAATTATACTGTCACTAACAATACATTAACGTAATTGTACTGCCGTTGAAAATACATTTATGTAATTGTACTACCGTTAACAGTACAAGTAGAGTCAACTACAATGTTTTTACTATTTTTTTGTTATTTTTTTTTAATATTTTTTGATTTGATGACACACATCAACGTAATTATATTACTGTCATTAACAGTAAAATAATTGTAAACATCAATATTATTAATTTTTTGGGTTTTTTGTTTTGTTTGAGTTATTCATGGAGTAAAGTAATAATATTACTGTCTATATTGTAATATTACTGTAAACACAATAATATTACTGTGGTTGAACGTTAATATTACTGCTTCTATAGTAATATTACTGTCACTCACAGTAATACTAATTATTTTGGTTTTTATTATGTTTAACTTTGTTGAACGGTCAACATATTAATATTACTCTATTACACAATAATAATGACTTTTGTTGTCTTCATATTATTGTGCTAGAGATTAATATAGCAATATTACTGTGTTAAACTGTAGTATAGTTAATTTTACTGTGTTTAAAAGTAATATAATACTAGTTAATATTACTGTGAACCACATCAATATTGTTGTTTCAACGGGGGGCAAAAGGATGTTAATAAAAAAAATCTAAAAAAAAAATCGAAAAAGTCAACGCCGGAAAGTGGGAAGAAATCAAGAAAAAAAAAAGTCAACGCCGGAGAGCGGCATTGACCGCCGGAAACCGGCGGAAAAATCAGGAAGAAGAGAAAAAAAAGTCAACAGCGGTGACGGACGAAATTGTCCATAAAAATGTGTTTTAGGTCAAAATTGAATAATTTGTGAAATTTTGGGTAAAATTGAGGTTATATTAAATTAAAGGATGAAATTAGAGCATATCAAAGTATGAAGGGCTATTTTAGTTTTTTACAAACCTCTGGACCATGTGTGGACTTTTTTATAAAATAGTTTATTGTCTGGACCTCTTTATGAATAAAACCCATTGATGGGCTTATTTGTAAAGTGGCCGTAAATATAATATATGGGGTCATTAGCAATAAACCCCTCATATGGTTAAGAAATGGTGATATGTGCCCGCATGGGTGTAGCTCAACTGGTTCCGGAGGTGGTAAGTTGGTGCAAGGCCCTAGGATCGAATCCTGGCTGCCGCAGTGTGGGAATTTCAACTCCAATGAGTTGGTTCCTTGTGGGCACCAGGTCCGGGTCCGCTACCTTAACGGGCCGTTGAGTTACCATGATTTACATTCCTCCATCAATCCTTGTCGGGCCAAGGGATGGGGGCCCTGGGGGTGAGGGATTTCGCCTTTTGGTGCAAGAAATGGTGATATGTCCACCCCTTAAATCTTTCTTTGTGATAACCCTCTAGAATTTGTATTTCCAATTCTACCCTTATGTCAATTAACATAATTTCTCCCAATTATTCATTTTTTCTCGCTTTCCATAACTATAATCTAATTCATAAAAATATGCTTCCAAATTCCTAAAAATTGTTACCAAATCAAAAAAATGGTTTTTTTATTTTTTATTTTTTATTATTTTCGGATTTTATTTAGTCATTATTTATTTATTTTTTATTTTTAATATTTTTTTTTGTTTAACAAAAAATTGAATTTTTGTTGGGACAGTTTACAACGCCGAATATGACTATAGTTCAATATGACTATATGGGACTATATCAACTATAGTCATATTCTTTCTTTATATTGCACTTTTTTACATTTTTAACTTCAAAATTCCGACTATATAGTGCGGTACAGTCATGTTTACCAAATTATATAAAACAACTAAGATTCCCTAGTTTAGGTAAACACTGCAATCAACATCCACAGAAACAATCACAAAAAATCACAATTTGAATCTTGTTATTACAAGTCAACTAGAAACGAGAAGATAGAACATATTCGAATATGACTACAATCATATTCAAAAATAGTCATATTCGAAAAAATACATAAATATGACTATAGTCATATTCGAATATGACCATAGTCATGTTGCTGCTACTGTACAGATCGAAACTATATTTTCAGATCTGGAAAAAAAACAGAGAGAGAGAGAGAGAGAAATCAAAAGTACATAAATAAAGGTAAAAAATTAACGAAAGAGAGGGAGGGGGAATATGCTTCAATTCGTCTAACTAAATACATAAATATGACTATAGTCATATTCGAATATGACTATAGTCATGTTGCTGCAACTGTACAGATCTGAAACTCTATTTTCAGAGAGAGAGGGAAAGAGAGAGAGAGAGAGAGAGAGAGAGAGAGAGAGAGAGAGAGAGAGAGAAAGAGAGAGAGAGAGAGAGAGAGAGAGAGAGAGAGAGAGATCGAAAAATACATAAATAAAGGTACAAAATTAACGAAAGAGAGGGAGGGAGTGTCAACGGCGATGGCGGCGGTGGTGAACGAAAGATAAAGTGAGAGAGGCGGCGACGGTGGTGGTGGTGGTGGGCAGATCTAAGAAAAAAAACTAAGAAATCGAGAAAGATAACGAAAAAGAGAGAAGGAGCCTTATGTGAAAACGAAGGAGCCGGCGGCGGCACAAGCGACGACGGTGGTGGTGGTATGCAAATCTATGTAAAGACGACGGTAGTGTAAAGAGAGAAATCGAGAGAGAATGAACACGAGAGAACGAGACTATTTATGTGAAGACGAAGGAGGAAGCGACGGCGACGGCAAATGAGCGGCGGCAGTGATGGCGGTGGCGACAGCGGTGGTGGCGGCGGCGGTGGATGAAGCTTGAAATTTTAGGAGAGAGAAGGCCCAAATCATATCCCAAATGACTCACTACTCAAAACTTCGTATCATAAATTTCCTAAGTTGTGATTTAAAACCGAAAATAGCATGATCTAGCACAAATTAATTCCAAACTTAAAATACAAAACATTCAACCAAAGCAATGCACAAAGTGTGATTTCTAGCAATAATTTGTTTCTAAGTTCCGTTGAATCAAAAGCAAAACAAACATCTAATCCTTATCTTAACAAAACAAGCAATTTCATCATCAAACATTGATCATCTCTGATCATCATAACTCATCGATGCGTTCGACTCAAGCATTTTTTTTTTATTCCGGTAAAAAACGATAAAAGCAAAAAATAAATAAAAACCTAATGCATGCAAACTAAAGAAAATATACACAAAAACATGTTTTTCACCCCCAAACTTAAAACTTTGATTGCCTTCAACGAAGTTAGCACAAAGTTTAAGGAAAGAAAACACCTGATTTAGTCAGAATCGTTTTCTTTGGGGTATGAGAATTTGTGGGAAAGAAATTTGATTTTCCTCTTGCGAAGATGCCCTCTCTGTCTCTCGGATGACCGTCCCAATCGCAATTCCGACCTTAAAAATAAGAAATCAAATAAATTAATTAGAATGCATGCCTATGAAAATAAAAATAAAACATAAAATTAAAGAAAAATATGAAAAACAGTAAAGCTCGAGTTGCCTCCCCAGGAGCGTTAAGTTTTAAGTCTTCAGCTAGACTTTTCTTCTTAAAACTGTTATGTCCAATCCAAAGCCTTGTAGATTGTGCATCTATCCATGAGCTCTTTCACTTCAATTGCAACCGATATCGAGATAAGATT